TTTTGATTATAGCTTTTAGTTACATAATCGACAGATTATACATTATAATATTTGGGTATTTCCATCTAGAAAACTTTATCAATTTATGTTAATACTTATTTTTTGTAGCTTGTTGCAATAAAATATTAGTTTTTATATTATATATATATTAAAATTTTATTTAAATAAATAAATTATAACAAAAATGGTTGACTTTTATACAAATACAAAGCACTGAAATAATCCCATGATTTAATAGCAGTATTACCAGAAATTCGTATTCATGAAAAAAAATATAGGCAATAAAAAAATAGTTTATACCTTTTAATCTCATAAAACTATTGTTACTAAATGAGCCAAGAGGATTAAAATCGCGTTTTGTGCCCCGACACATTCGACTCGCAGCCATGCATTTTTAATACATTTCAACGAAAACTTTTAATCTTCTCTAGTTCGAATATGTGCGTGAGTGTGTTGTACGCGATGGGAAATTAAGCCGATTATAAATTATTGGAAAATCCTATTTTGCACTAGGGACGATGGAGGAGGAAAACCGAAACAGCTGTCTCGCAAAAGTTACTTAACAAAGTGAAAAATAATAATGAGGATTTTCGTCCACGCTGCAGCTTAGGCTATTACACGATTAACATTGAACAAAAGCCCTGGATAGACTCTCAACATTTTTTTTATATATCGAGATACTCAGCGCCGTCGATCCTCTTACATGTTATATAATTTTTTTTTCTCTTTCGCTGTTTTCCACCCTTGCGACAGGCGTAGAATTACATTGATTCATTCCCTGTGAAGCTTTCGCGTTACACGCTACTCATTCGAGCTGATTTTACACCGAACTCGTATGAATTTTTGCCTTTTTTTTTTGGATCGTTTGCGTTTAACGACATCCAAAGTTCATGCGTTGAGCGTTCCCAAATTGCCCAGCGTATCATTTTTATTGTACCATTAAAAAAATCGCTTATCCAATTTTTTTCTTCTTTTGGTAGGTTGCAACAACTGTTTACTCAAAGTCTCATTCATATTCTATTTGATAGCATACATTTAGAAGTAATACAATTTATATGCAGAAAGATTAATTTTTAAAAATACAATAAACTACTTTTATTGAATTAAACAAGGTTTAATCAATTTAACTTCAGTTTAAGTAATAATAACTAACATCAAAGCTTTTGCTAACTCGCTTAAAACTAATATTCCATGACTGCGCCACCATGATAATCTTGTATGCAATTTTGTATAAGCGAAGTCTTCTGTGCAAAAGATATGGCGGATATATCAGCCGCAATTCCGCAAAGGCTAAAAAATTTGATTGACTTTGTGCATATGTTTATTTATTACCCAATTAATAAAACTAATGGGAAATTAATTAATTTGTAAAAAAAACTGATTTTTTCTTTAATTTTTTAATAGAAGTTTTGAATTCTGGAGATAAGTCTAGAAAATATTTTTTGAAATTATTAAGGAATATTAATGAGACAATTTGAAAATATTAAATTTATTTAATTTTTATATAAAAAATGTGTCTTTAATGGTAGATTAATTAATATTAAATTACCATGGTTGTACAATGTATTTTTAGAAGAAAACGGAAAGTTTCTTGTTTAAAACACAGGGGGTAATCTGAAATTTGATCGCAGATGAGAATCTTGAAAGTAATTGGGAAGGCATTCAAAAGCCTAAAGTTTCTCGCAGGAAGGACGCGATAAATCGGTTTCATCCAAAATATATGATGCACACACACACACGATGTATACCCGTACATTTCAGAATACCCGTGCCTGCAGATAAGGCTGCACCATTCAGATAGGATTGATCATGTTTTAGTCGTACACAGCACTCAGCACTTAATTAACAAACTTATCTGATGCGAAATAAATTCGCCGATTCCTAATCTCATAGCCAGACATCAATTACCTGGCCTCCAGTTCTCCATTCAACCATAGCATGTACACACAGAGAGTGGGAAAGAGATGAAGCCTCTATACTTTTACTCTTCCACTTCAGATTATTAATTTATAATAAACTCCTTGAAAACTTTTAATTCCTTCGCGTTGGTGTGAGTACGCTTTTAATATTAATCCATGCTAAAAGGCAAAACATCCAACAAGTAACAAAAAAAAGTACAAGAAATGAACATCTCGCAGCTTTATTGTATAATCGTTTTTTTTTTCGTACTTTCATAACTTTAGACGATCGAAAATTTTCTATTAAGTTCAACAAGCACGAATAAAACATTAACTGCATGTATAATAAAAAGGCTTATTGTGATTTAATTTTATTCGCGCAATAAAAAAAAATGGCAGGATCAGCACTAAATCGAATTACCAAGCACGAACATTTTAAATTCGTGTATAAAAAAATATATGAAAATAAAAATAATAATTCCTATACATGTATTCACCTGTAGCTGAAAGCCTAGAAATTAAATTACCCAGTATTTCATGTTCATCGAACATGGCACAATTTCGTTTACAAGTTTCTAAAAAACTAAATTATTATTTTTACATTTAACAAGACTCAGTTTTGTTAACTGCCGGTTAGTTAACATTTACAATTTTATGTTTCATCAAATTTTAAATATTAAACTTTAAAAAAATAGTAATGAAATTAAATTTCTTATAGTTAATTTTTTGAAAAATAATTATTTAAAAATATTTAGTTCATTTATATTTCAATTATTCCTACAGATTTAAACAATTTTAAAAAGGCGTATTTATAAATATATGTTTATATATTTTCATTTATACTATTTATATATCTG